AAAAATCCGAGATAGCAGTTTTGTAGCCCTGTCAATTCTACAGCTTTTATGTCCTAATCGTTTTTCTGTATTTGCAAAGTTATAGGCCTGACAGCTCTTCACGCGAAACCCTTTTTTCGATCGAAAACGGCAGAACATGACGTCACTCTGACGTCATTTCCGGCCAACCTATCATAGCCTTTGGAAAAATTTTTGGTCACAATGTGTAAAATTGATGTCCGGGAGGGTACTGAAAGTTTGGTGACGATCGGCGTAGCGGTTCTGGAGATACATCGAAAAGTCTGGAGGGGGGGCAAAAAATAGCCCCCCCCCACCAGGGCGCGGGTTAAAGTAAAATGTCCCAAGAACGCATTGAGCACAAATTTAGCCTTCCAGGTCATGTGGGACAAAAGTTATGTAGCAAAATAAATTATCTGGGGCGTCTTGCCCCAGGCTACCCTATTCATAATAGCCTTGTTATGCAAATACAGAAGCAACGTGAACCAATCCCTTCGTCTTTTTGCTTCCACCCGTATTTAATTTTATAGAGGATGTACTGAGTACTGGAGCCGGAGCCGGACCATTTTACTCGGAGCCGGAGCCGATTTTTTCTCCGGAGCCGGAGCCGGAGCCGTCTGAAATTTCCACGGCTCCGCATCCCTGGATCAAATGCTTCTGCGAGATCCGTCTATTTTGGCGGTTTTTGCTCTCTGTGGGCCAAATTGTTGAAAGTAAGCTCGAATCTAAGGACAACTCAGCGGGAGCTTCCAAGGATCCATCAAAAGCACTCTTCCGTGACGCTGCAACACTTATAGTTCACGAGCTATGCGCCTGGATAAGAGGGGAAAAATTGGCAAAGCTGGCTAAGAACCGCACCTGGGCTTGGGTAAAGCAGGTTACCACTTACCGGCCACCACTGCGGGGGCATTTGCCACCTCCCCTTCCATTAACATGTTAGCCGAGGCCCTGCTGTGTCTTTAGAGGGCAGCAAAGAGATGATATGATGATATAAAACTCCAGAAGGCGGCGCTGTGACTTCCATGAGCTTCACTATGACTGCGAAGGGCGGCACTATGACTTCAGAGGGCGGCTTTAGGAATTCAGAGGGATACCTACTACCACCTCAGAGAGTGACACTACTTTAGAGAGCGGCAATACTACTTCAAAATGCAAGCTATGACTTCAGAGGGCGGCGCTATGACTTCAGGGAGCTTCAAGAAGACTGCGAAGGGCGGCACTATGACCTCAGAGGGCGGCACTATGACCTCAGAGGGCGGCACTATGACTTCAGAGGGCGGTCAAGAGGGCGGCACTTTGACTTCAGAGGGCGGCACTCAGGGGCGGATCCAGGAAAACTCCAAGGGGAGGGTCATGAATCGAAGTGGTGCCCCTACCTATACCCAAAATTAAAAACTCAACGGATTTCGTCCACTTCATTTTGGTGGTGCCCCCATGTTCAGTTTTTTTTTCTTTTTTATCTTTTATTTCTAGTCAGTATCTTAACTCTTAGCCACAACCACATTTACCAATTGTAAGCAAGTATATATGAATGTGCTATGTGTATATATGTTGTGGACGCTGAGTAGTGAGTACTTACCAGGAACGTTATCAGGTAAGCAAATCGTTGTCAGTCCGACGAACTTGACCCTGGCGTCTAAAGCGTCTGTCCTCGACACTTCAGGCTTGTCAGGGGCACCAAAGTCCTTCCAGGGACACCACAAACCTGCCAGGGGCACCTACGGCCTTGTAGGGGCGCCACAGGCCCGCCAGGGGCACCACAGGCCTGCCAGGAAGCAGGGGCACCACAGGTCTAGCAAGTATACACGACAGGCCTGTCAGGGGCACAACGGGCCTGTTGGGCCCATGAGCACCCCTAGGGGCAGGGGCACCACAGTCCTTCCAGGGGCACCGCAGGCCTGTGAGGGGCACCAGCGGCCTAGCAGGGGCACCAGTCAACACAGGCCTGCCAGGGGCACCACAGACCTGCCAGAGGCACCAGAGGCCTGCCAGGAGCACCACCGACCTCGCAGGGGTAACTTGGGCCTGTCAGGGCCCAGGGGCACCACGGGCCTGTCGAGAGGCACTTCAGGCTTTTCAGGGGCACCATAGTCCTCTCCGGACGCAGGGGTAGCAGGGGCACCAGAGGCCTGCTAGGGGCACTACAGGCCTAGCAAGGGCACCACTGGTCTATCAGGGGCACCACGAGCCTGTCACAGCCAGGCATCTCAGGCTTGTCAGGGCCCAGGGGCACCACAGGTCTGTGAGGGGCACAAGCGACCTAGCAGGGGCACCAGTCAACACAGGTCTGCCAGGGGCGCCACAGACCTGCCAGGGGCACCACAGACCTGCCAGGGGCACCAGAGGTCTGCCAGGGGCACCACCGGCCTCGCAGGGGCACCTTGGGCCTGTCAGGGGCACCACGGGCCTGCCGAGGGGCACTTCAGACTTTTCAGGGGCAACAGTCCTCTCCGGGCGCAGGGGTACCAGCGGCCTAGCAAGGGCACCAGAGGCCTGCCAGGGGCACCAGCGGCCTAGCAAGGGCACCAGAGGCCTGTCAGGGGCACCACAGGCCTAACAAGGGCACCACGGGCCTGTCAGGGGCACCTCAGGCTTGTCAGGGCCCAGGGACACCACAGTCCTTCCAAGGGCACCGCAAGCCTGTCAGGGGCACCAGAGGCCTGCCAGGGGCACCACAGGCCTAGCAAGGGCACCACTGGCCTGTCAGGGGCACCTCAGGCTTGTCAGGGCCCAGGGGCACCACAGTCCTTCCAGGGGCATTACAAGCCTGTCAGGGGTACCAGAGGCCTAGCAAGGGCACCACAGGCCTGCCATGGACACCACAGGCCTGCCAGGGGCACCACCGGCCTTGCAGGGGCGCCTCAGGCCTGTCAGGGGCACCACGTGCCTGCCGGGGACACTTCAGGCTTGTCAGGGGCGTTACAGTCCTGTCAGGGCCCAGGGGCACCAGGCCCGTGGTGTCCCTGCTAGGCCTGTGGTGCCCCTGGCGGTCCTGTGGTGCCCCTGTCAGGACTGTGATACCCCTGATAGGCCGGTGGTGCCCCTGGCGGGTCTTTGGGCCCCCGGGCCTCAAGGGGGGGGCCATGACCCATGTGACCCCCCCCCCTTGGATCCGCCCCTGTCAGGCGCGGATCCAGGGGGGCCGCTGGGGGCCGATGCCCCTAGCCTATCGAAAAAATGCCGCCCTCCGCCGCCGAAGGCGGCGGAGGGCGGCTTTTTTCCATAGGCGTTCGAGTGCATTTTACGGAAACGAGCAAAGTTCATTTCATAATAATCTCTGGTAACAACTCTCTGAATTGATATTAAACCCTCAGAGTATGTTACTTCTCTCCCTGAAGTCGGAGTGCCGCCCCCGTAAGACGAAGTACCGCCCTTGACAATCACATTGCCGCCCTTTGAAGTAGTAGTGCCTCCCTCGGAATTCGTGATGCCGCCCTTAAAAATGGTAGTGCCGCCCTCTGTACTCGTAGTGCCGGCACGCACAGTGGAAGGGTTGCGAGTACTATGCCCAGTGGAAGGGGTGGGGGAGTTAATGTCGCCCCCAACCTAACTTAACCTAACCTAGTCTAACCAAACTTAACCCAAAGTGGAAGCTAAAAAGACGAAATTTGGAGGGTAGGTTGTGGCCCTGGGGAGCTCTGTTGTGTGTGAATTTCATGACCCTAGGTCATATTGACCTATGGTCAATATCTTCAAGGTCAAATGAGGTCAAATCTGCCGTATGAGCGACTTGTTTGCGTTTACACGCCGATAACTCAAAAAGTTATCGGCCGATTTTCCTTTTTCTTTCACTCTACGAAAGAAAATACATTTCCTAATATGAATGGTGAATTTCTAGTTAATCTAACAATAAACATGACAGCTAGAAGCCTGCTAAGAGTAAGATGTCAACGGATGAGGGGGGATCGGCCGAAGCGGAAAACGCGGCAATCACAATTTTGTGTTCGCACGCTCATAATTCAAATGCTTACTGGCCGATTTCAAAAATTCTTTGACCATAAGATTGTATGTACATTTCTTAGTCTTCTAAAAAAAATTGACGCGAATCGAATATAATCAGCGGTAAGGGGCGCGATGTAAAGACGGAACCATCCCGCCCCGGCACAGTCTACAATTCAGGCGGAGCGAAACGGCCGGCGCCGGCTGCCGCGTTGACTTTTCACCGCTTTTCTAGAAAAGTTGCGACCCGATTTTTTTATTTCTTACACGATACGACCCACAATTCAATTATGGACCGGTAGCCAAAATTTCACATCAATGTCATGTTTGCGGCTTGAGTTATTGGCGAAAAACAGGAGGGGTGGGCGAAATTCGCCCCCGTTCCATTGCGCGTGTTAAAAACATTTTGATTTCACCAGAGGGCACATATAGTTTCGATAATTAACACGAATCAATTACACTGCAGGGATCTTTTGTTGAAATTTCACAAAAGTGTGAGCTGTGGAGACGATTGGAAGCAGTCGAAACTCATTAGGAGCTGGGACTAGGAGTTGGGATCCATTGGAACCAATAACTCCAAATAATGCAATAAAGTCACGCACCACCCAGTCGAAATTGTCACCCGTCGTTGATCTGGCGCCCCACGGTATGACGGCCATCATGCTCAGTTTGCAATTCCATTCCGGACTGCAAAGGTCAGCAGGACACCGCCACAGCACGTCCTGCCGAGCCGGGGCAATATCGCGGACCTCTGAGACCCGACTGGGTCCCGACAGCGGCACCTCAGGAACGGGTCGGACTCCAGACGGACCGTCAACACTGGGGTGCGTGGAGAACGGTCAGGTCAGGTCAGCTATAGCAGTCAGCATGCCTTACACGGATGCGTGCTGACTGCTACCCACGGAGTGGGCGAGGAAGACGGCTGTCTGGGCAGACCTATCCATGGAGTTGGTGAGGCAGACGGCCTGCAGATATATGTACACTTACACACGGAGTGGGCGAGGCGGCCGGCCGTGTAGGACAGACTTACCCACGGAGTAGGCGAAGTCAGATCATACACGTACCCACGGAGTAGGCGAGGCAGACGGCCGTCTGGGAGAGGGCGTAGACGGCGCCGTAGCCGTCCAGCAGGCCGTGCCGCTCCACCAGCCGCGCCAGCAGCGGCATCAGAGACGCGTCCACGATGCCGATGCCGAGCCCGATGCAGAAGTGCGGCAGGATCAGGTGCACCATCCGGGTCGACTGCGGCAGCTGCGGCCGACAAGGACGTCGGTTCGATACCGAGTCGTCACTTGTTTGGCATGTGTTGGAAGAACAGAAACACAAAGTCGCCTGGTGAACCATCCCTGTTTGTGATCCTGCCTCAAGAGCCTTTTCTGTCCCCAATAAATGCTCCTTTACAAAGAGTTAGCCGTTACGGTAGATCAAACGCTAGCTTTGTGCGGTTACTCTCGATAACTTACGTACACAAACATACCTCAATAAAGATTTACGATGGGCTTTGCCTCAGAAGTCAAGATTTCATTATCCAAAAAGCAAGCCAATTTGCTTCAAGTCATTCTGTTATCTATTTTTAGAATAACAGCCTAAATTACTCATGGGTAAACAAGCGCATTGCAAAGCGCACTCGAATACGACTTGATGATGACGATTGACGGTCGATACCTTTGTCCTTTCAATTCCTCTGAGCCAAAACGTGACACAAAATGTTCCTAAACGGACATGCAGCGCTGATACAGGCAAATCGGCGCTTATCCGCCGGCGCCGCTGAATCAGCAGCTGCAGCCGTCGAGCTGCGCCGGCTCCCTCCGCACACCCCGCTCACGACTTCTCACAGGTGGTACATCGTTTTCCACTCGCATCTCGCTGACAGGCGGTCACGAGTCGGCTGACGGGACGTCACGATTCGACTACCCCCGGTGACGTTTGTCGGTGAAATGTGACGAGACCGATTCGGTGTGTCGCCGGCCTGTTTGTGACGCCGCACCATCATGTTCCGACGGACAAAAAAGGACAATCGTATGCGAGAGACGGGCCTCGCAAACTGAAAATATTTAAGAGTAAATTTACGCTACACTATGCAGCCTTGACCCAGCTGAGCCAGAGAACCAGTTTATCTCACATGCGCATGCACAATGTACATCGCAATAGGCTCTAAAAGAAGATGCTTGTGCACATTTTACCTACTACAGGCCACGTGCATTATCTTACTTTTAGGTCACCTGAGTTCTGGCTTGTAGCCGGAGATGCATGTCTGCCATTAGAACTTGGTTATCACCTAAACCGGCTGCTATTATCTGGAGACACTCTGCCACCACCCAGACAATATTTATGACTCCTATAGGAAATATTTCATCGCAATCCACACATAGCTACCTAACTACTCACGTCCTCGACGGCATGACAGTCACAGAATCATTCTCGTATGTCAACGACCTCAGACCACGCTGATGTCCAAGCTCCAAACCGGTTCAAACCTCCCTTTCGCCGCCTCTACACGCTCTTATCACCGTTACACATGAACAATGAACATCGTTTGCCTCGCAAGTTTCGCTTGGTCTTACCAGCATGGCGGCGGTGCCGACCGTCATCATGGCGGCGGCGGCCGTCCGCCAGCGGCCCAGGCGCAGCGCGATCACGCCGAAGCCGTGGGTGCCGATCAGGTAGCCCAGGCTGTCGGGGATGAACACCGAGCCGAGCTGCCACTTCTGCCGGCGGTCAGAACAACAGTGGTATTGTGAGGGCGCCACGCTGGGTGAGAGCAAGGCCAGGATTGGTCTATGACCACGAGGAAACAAGATACTGAAGTTCGGAGTCTGAACCTCACCGACCCCCGAGTGTGCCGCTGTGCAGGTTGGAAGGGAAGGGGTGCCGAGGAGCTACCTCTGCCCACCTGCGGGTGTATGGTGCGCATCAGCCAGGCCGGCAGCGTGGGCTCCAGGATGGCCATCACGGAGGTGGAGATGCCCACGGCGGCGGTGACGATGCAGACGCGCCGGTCCAGCAGCAGCCTCCACCAGGCCGGCGACGAGCCCTCCTGCTCGCCCTCCTCCTCCTCGGGCAGCTCGGTGACCGGCAGCGGGCGCAGCTGGCGGTACTGGATCACTGGATAAGGGCCACGGTCTCAGATACTGTTCCGTATGTATTGTCCTGAGACACGTGTCAGAACTGTAAGATACTGCAACACTGGCAATAGACAGGGGGCACGGAAACGTTCGACAAGAAATGTCTTGTGAGGAAAATAGAGATAGTGCATGTTTCGCATCCTACAACAGGTAACACAAACTCAGCAATTCTCCACCATTCAACAGCCACACGGCTCACCTAGCAATCCGATGAGTACGAGCGTCAGGAGCCAGAAGGGCGGCGCCTTGCCCATCAGGTCGTAGCTGAGCCCTCCGAACGGGTAGCCGATGAGCACGCCGACAGCCATGGCGCCCAGCACGCGGCCCATCACCCGCGACCGCTCGCGCTCGTTCGGGTACAGGTCGGCCACGGCCGAGAGGCCTATCGGCAGGGTGGGGGTGGGAGCCGGCGACCGGGGGGAGGGCAGATCGCTCATTCTGATTTGTGTCGGCCAGTCGTTCGGGACAATTTGAAAGTGGCGGTCGTGGAGCGCTATGGTAGTTCGAGTCCAATGTCAGGAACACTGAGATATATTTGTGTAGAGGCATGGATCGTTGGTTTTCGGGAGCATTTGCGGCGCGAGTTATAGCCAGCAGTAGTCGTGTCCCTCAGAGGTCCCGACCACGGCTGTCAGTGCCTCCAAAGAAGCCATGACACATATCGCAGTAAAGAACAGTTGGTTCCGAAACGAATGCCAACTGCAAAACGAATGACACAAATCGGTTTTCTGGGGAGCATTGGCTGCTTTGGTGATGGCGAACTTTGGTACAGCACAGTTCTGAGTTGGATATCAATAGCGAAAGATCAATTTAACCAGTTGTGTAATTGCTTAGGATCGCTCAGATCGTGGATCGAGAATATAGAACATGAATAGTCTGTAGGCACAAGTTTTTACGTTTATGCTCCTTTTTCAATTAATAGGTGAGCGACATGGCGCCTACATGGCACCTTCTTTATGCATTCTACCAAACCGTCGCGTTGATTGGATTGTAACTGGCATTCCTTTACGGTGATATTTAATCAAAGACCCACCGGCTGACGGAAAAAGCTTTACCTACGTTTCGTTATCCATTTGACATTGACCGCTCTGGTAATTGTTTCATCAACAGTGCATCATTACTCACCAAAGAAGCAAAAAAAAAGCACGATACTTATTACGTGTTTACAATTCCTCGCTGTTGTCCGTCCGGGAATAGCAGCAATTAGTGCCGGCGAGCGGTCCCGCCGCTGGCCGCAGTGCTGTATGTATGAGCAGGAGCTCAGCCATTGATCGTCAGTCACTGACCTGACACGGCGATGCAGGAGGATCCCACGCCCTGAATAGCGCGCGCCAGAAACAGGGCCGAAACGCCCGAGGCCACGGCGAACACTGAAATCGGAACACGCCTCTGTAGACCAAATGCCTCATACACATTTCACAGCAGCTAATGCATATCCTACTTGAAGATAAGGTCAAAGGAGGTTCAGTGGTAACGTGTTAATTAGTATGAACAATGACTAATGAGCATGCATAGCGCTATAAAGTCTACCTTTAGCTTATTCGCACATACCCACATATCTACTAAAAGTGAGTACGATTTATTTATTTGTTTGGCCTGCCTTTGAAGCCCTTTGACCGCCAGTCCTGCTTTTGGAGCACAGGAGCAGCCGCGCCTTCGAATGTTATCGATTGGCTCGTCACGGCTGTCAGAGAGCTCGCCGCGAATTTCAGAGGCATTCGGGCGGCCCTTTGAAGGTCGGCCGGCCGTCCTGCGCACCGTCTTCTGCCCGGGACCGGTGCGTGCGTCGGCACTAATCCCCCGCTCCACAGCGGCCCAGATGACTGGAAAGCTGCGTAAAATGACTCTCATTCATCTGGGCGGCATAACACTCGTAGAACCCTTACCAACAAAGCTGAGGCTATTCGCCCTTCGGTCGCTCACATATTTCGCTTTTTACCAAAACAAAGCAGCTGAAATTCTTTTGATATGACGAAGGCAGGCATTGTTTGGAACAGTTGAAGCGATCTGTTGTTGGATTATGCTGACTATTGTTCATATCTGGTGAGGAATGTAGCTATGAGAACAATGAAAATGCCCTGGCCTTAGGGAAAACGCTTATGACATTTCTAAATAGGAAATAAAATATGAGTCACAGCTCTAAGAGTTAAATATCTTTACATTAATTAGCTAAACTTGCCAGCTACATAATTAAGCTTTGCCTAGCGTCTTTCTACGAATTATAATTTATTTTATCAAGTATAGCGAAAAACTGTACAAGAAATCGTCAAATGCATAGCTGCGTCATCCCGCTGCGTCGGTGATACTTACAGAAGGCCGAGAGCGCCAGCACGGCCACTCCGAACACCAGCGGCAGACGAAAGCCGACCCGGGCCACGGCGGCGCCCACCACGCCGTTGGCCAGCAGCTGCACGAACGCCTTGGAGGAGAGCAGCACGCCGATGCGGCCGTCCTGCCGGCGCGCCAGCTCCCCGGCCAGCTCCCCGTTCCCGTCCGGAGCGGTCGGGGTGACCGGCGGCAGCCCCGGGTCCGGCCCGGCCGGGGCAGCGAGCGCGGTCGGGGGACGAGCCGGGACGGTGAGCGCCGCGGTCGCTACCGAGGCGTTCGGCTCGGAGAGCGCGTCCCGGTCCGGCGGGAAGTAGCCGGGCAGCACGGAGGTGCGGCTGCGCAGCATGGTGCGCCCGTCGCCGCTGCTGGACAGGTTGCTGAAGAGGTGGGTGAAGAGGAGCGTCTGCGCCGTGTGCGCCGCGTCGGCGCTGTCGGCGACGCTCGGAGGCGCGCCGCTCAGCTCCGACAGGAACGCCGGCATCATCGGCACTGCGGGTACAGTCGGAGAGGTGAGGGATTGCGGGCACCATCGTAAGGGGATGCAGTGAGAGACAGTGAGGGACTGCGGTCACGGTTAGAGGGATAGAGGGGACGTGAGGGACGGACAGCGGGAACACGAGGAAAATGCGGGATGACACGATGAGGGAATGGTTAATGGAACAAAAACTTCGCACCATGATAAAGTGATGCAATGGGCAGGGGAAAAAACTTTCATGTAAAAAGAGACGCTTCATATACACGAAGTAAAACAAAACAGAAATGAAAAACAAACAAACAAACAGCGATTGTTGGCGCACCTAATTATCATTAGGTATATTTACAATTACGTTCCAGAATAACTTAGGTAGGTACATTTCTTTACAAATAACCAAATACAAATTATTTAACTTCTCTCTACCAGATAGGCACTAGTTGGGCCAAGGCGGCACTAACCGTGCAAACAAAGTTGCCAGGGCTTCATACAAGCTGGCGTAAAAATAGCTGCAACATTGCCACTTGGCGACAAACGGCGCTGCAAAATCCTTTTAGATATGACGTTGTGTTTGAAGAATAAATGGCCCCAGATGCATCTGGAGACATGTGGTCCAAATGTGGTGCCACTGCTGGCTCGAAATGCGGTGCTGAAATGGTATATTCTCTCAGTGATGGCGCTATACCCTGTGGAAGGCACTCACAGAGCAATACGACTTCGGTTGTAGGGCTAAACATGCAATCCTTACGCACTATTGGTATGTTCTTGCACCAGTGCTTAGGACCCATTTGCCGAATACCTGCTAATTTGTTTTGGCTATCGGAATATTGCAAATGACATTCGTCATTTCAAGAACTTTACCTTTTAAATGTGACAACTATCTTATAGACCACTAAATCAATCAAAACAAAACAAAATGGAGTTGCCTAGTTTTCCAGTTTCCTTTCACGATTGATAGACAAATTTGAATACCCATTTCATTTCAATGTCTGCCGCGATGCGCTGACGCAGCTCTACATATATCACGTCCTGTAAGCCCACTCGTAAGAAGATTTTGAACTAAGTCGCCTGGCTCCTCGACGGGGGCAGGATCTTAGGGAGACAGAAATCTAATCACAACGAGATCTCATTTAGACGGTCGAGGCGGCTGCCGTTTTATTGGAGCGGCCGACTGTCGTGAGGAGGGTGTTATTCTCGACTCAACGACGCTGAGAGGACGCTAGATTTCCCCCGTCTTATCAACGCGGTTGCAGCAGGACGCGAGCTCTTCATATCAACAGTTGAGAGGAAGGCAATATCCTCATTTCAACAACTACATAATGCGAGATGGGTATTGTCGTAATCTCACCGACTATAAAGAGGACTCAATATGGACCATAAAACATGTATCACACGACACTTTCATATTGTGACCCCCGGTGACCTGACCTCGCTGTGGGGGGGGGCCCTCCCTGTCGGGGGGCCGAAACGGCCCCTCCCTGTCCTTTTCCGACGATATCTCCTAAACAGCTAGAGATATCGCCACCAAACTTTCAGGACCCCTCCGGGCATCAATTTTACACATTGTGACCAAAATTTGTTCCAGAGGCTATGATAGGTTGGCCACAAATGACGTCAGAATGACGTCATGTTCTGTCATTTTCGACCGAAAAAAAGACCTTCGCGAGAAGACCTGTCAGGCCTACAGATTTGAAGATACAGAAAAATGGTCAAGACATAAAAGGTGTAGAATTAACAGGGCTACAAAACTTCGATCTCGGATTTTTGAAATTTTTGAGTTTTGACCCCCAAAAATCAAAAAAGCATTTTTTGGATATATTTGCCAAAAAATCCAAAAAGTTTTTTGAGCTTCGAAAAAACCGGAATATATGTGATAGTACCTACCGTCTTCTATCCACATACCAAATTTCAGATCAATACCTCGTTTTTTGGCCAAGTTATAGCGAAAAAAAAAACTGTTCAAAAATGATGACGTCAAATTTTCAAACTCAATTTTTGGCAATTCTAGACATCGTAGAGCAAAACAAAGACCACCATTAGACTCTCCGTGACGAGCTGCATCGAATCGATACACATTTTATGCAAAAATATCAACTTTGAAATTTGACCTAATTTGACCTGACCTTGACCTGACCTTCACCAAAACGTGACCTAGGCTGGCCCCAAAGGCTGCCTAACCCACATAATCGCATTTTTCATGTAAAATGGACCATAAAACATGTATCACACGACACTTTCATATTGTGACCCCCGGTGACCTGACCTCGCTGTGACCTGACCTGGTATCAGTGACCTCAGATAGCAAAGTATGTGTTTGACGAACAATGTACCATCGATGGTTTTCAATAAATTACCAGTTTACTCGATTTCACAACACATTTCTTGAAATGCCTGTGAACGGTGAAAATCCGACCTTTGACCTGACCTGTGACGTCATCGGTTTGACCTAGGTCAATGAAATTTGGTCACAAGGTAGTTCCCTGGTGGGGCTATCGAATACCGTTTGAATTTTGAAAATCGGCCGGTAAATTTCCGAAATCTTAGGGGGGGCCGAAACGGCCCCTCCCCTACGGGCGGTAGGGTCCGCCGATAGCCCTACGGGGCGCGGGTTAACTCAAAGTGGTCAGATTGATGTTATACTCGACTCATCGACGGCAGAGAGGAGGACAGTATACTAACAAAGCCCATAGGACGGTATACGCGACTCACCGAGCCGAAAAACAGACTGTTTATCTCGACTCACAGAGCCGAGAGGACGGTATACCTACTGGACTCACCAACAGCCGAGAGGACGGTATACTCGACTCACAGAGCCGAGAGGACGCTATACTGGACTCACCAACAGCCGAGAGGACGGTATACTCGACTCACAGAGCCGAAAGGACGGTATACTGGACTCACCAACAGCCGAGAGGACGGTATACTGGACTCACCAACAGCCGAGAGGAGGGTATACTGGACTCACCAACAGCTGAGAGGACGGTATACTCGACTCACAGAGCCGAGAGGAGGGTATACTCGACTCACAGAGCCGAGAGGAGCTGGTATACTGGACTCACCGACGGCCGATAAGAGGACGTTGTCCAGCAGCAGCGAAACGTACACGAGCGAAGTGACCACTGATCGCGTCGGACTGGCCTCGGCCTCATCCGACTGTTCCGCCACCATAGCGCCGTCCCGAGTGGGACCGACCTGACCTGACCTGACCTGACACCCGTCCCTCACTGGGGACGTCCGCTCTGTGACCGGCAGCAGCGCCGAGTGAGCTCCGCTCCGGTCGGTCCCAGAGCTCGTCGCATCACCTATCTGACGGCGGCGGCACAGGCGGCCGCGGAGGGCCGCGCCCGGTTATCGAGGCCGTGCAGGCCGCCGCGCCGGCACATCACTCTTGTTTGGCGGTGCGGCCGGGCCGTGAGGCGCACTATCTGCGGTGGCCATACCGCCGGCGTCGGCACGTCACCGGTGGGCCGCCGTCGCCGCCATAAGTCGGTGTCGATCCGAAGGGGCCACTCGGCTGTCGGTGGGCTCTGCCGCAGAGCCGCGCCGGAGCCAGCCGTCACTGACACCGAGCTCCGTGGGAGGCGGACGGGCGACTCTCGGAGATCCGGCGTACCCGCTCGGCTGCTTACTGTTGATCAGCACGGACCTTTGCGAGGCGCACTGCCAGAGAAGACATTTTAAAACCCATGAACTAATTGACCGATAAGAATGCAAGAATAGCTTTGCTAATGCCTTTCCTTGTTTTCACAGTCGCAGGGATAATCATTTAGGTACTCGACATTGGCCAGTCCACACTGAAAACAATTTCACCCAAAACTGGCGAGTAAACCGGTGCCTCGCGGGTACCCCTATCCGCAACCATTTTTAACCACCCTCCCAGGAGTCAATTTAGGACCTAACACTTTCGCAATTCACTCTGGAGAGTAGTAACCCTCCACGACTATTCGCGCACCAGTGGCTCGCGACCCCTCCATCGAAAGGTATTCATCGACGCCTACCTGGCAGCAGCGCCCCACAAACCCCTAGGAGATGGGGTTACCCTCCACGCCTACCCTTCGCCGATCAAGTCACGAGGGCCAAAAAAACTCCCACGCTTGACCAAATTTGCGAGAAAATATCTATATTTTAGCAATCTCACACCTAGAAAACATCGGTGAGAAAGTTTCACATCGGTGGGAAAGGTCAAATCGAATTCCCATAGAAATTTCGACATGACTCAGTCACCGGCAGTCATGCAGACCGCCCGAAATCAAGAAGATGTGTCGCCGCTGCTTTCGTGACCTATATAAGAATCAAAATGGTCTCACTTGGTAGTTTCGGAAGAAAAGGCGTTGCCAATCGTCCCGTGATGAATGTTGCAGAGGTTTTAAAGATGCACCCACTTTCGCCCCCACTTGAAAACCGCCAAACAATGTGCCAACATAGGTATCATTGGTTAAAAAAAAGTTAAAAAATTGTTGTAATTCAAAACTGTATGAGACAACGCCATCTAGTTGTAACAGTAGATCCAACTCCTTCAGGGCAGGTTATGTAAAGGTTCGCCATCCACGGATACGCGTTTACGATACCTCGAGTAGTTCCAACTCTTTCAGTGAGGGCTGTGCCAATGACTCGACACCCGCGGGGACAATATCCGGTGCTGGGTAGCTACCTTACTGCAGACTGTGGGTACAGTGCATATTTACGAGTAATAAGGCAGGCAAGTCTGCTTACCCTCTACCTAGAATCTGGACAAGGCGAGTTAATACACATATACCACCCGCAGAGCAACGCTTAACTCGCCAGCTTCGAGTGAAATTGTTTTCAGTGCATAGGTGATTGGGATGGATTTTAACTTTTCGATATAGTTCAAGGTGTCCGTAGTTAACTTTAAAACTATTTTACGAATTATTAAGTTCCACTCAATCGTAATCGTACGTTTTCATTCATACCTACTAGGAAGCTTTAAAACTGAGCTAGCCCATTCAGCTTTTTTAATTTAGCTTCTTTGAACTACTCCAGGCAGATGAAACAAGCTAAGATATTCAAATAGGGTCCTTCTTCATACCACCGATCATGCTAGAAATGTTGCACAACGATCATTAGATCACGTTGCCAGCCACAGACAATGCCTAGGGGAGAGCGGGGTGAGTTGTATCATGTCCAAGTTTTATCAGGGCGAATTGTGCCAAACTTATCCAATGGATGGCGCTCGCGACACGACCAGCCGACGAGGTTTTCCGGGCGCCATCTTTCCCTGTTCTGTCTTGTGGCTGAGTGGCAGGGGCCCGGGAACGATTTTCAAGTTGGGGGGGCGAGCCCAAAATACCTGACATGATGCATATGAAAAGGATCTCCATAAGGGCCCCACGCCGGCTTCTGAGGGCCGCTTGCGGCTTTTACGGGCACCTCGGTGGTCTCCAAAGACCTGTTACTGGCCTCTGAGAGGTCTTTCCGGCCTATGAGGGGCCAGTTATAGGGGCATTTTCCGCCTGTGATGGTCTCACACTTATTTTTCTGAGGGCCCCATAACGGCAACTGTGGTCTGTAGGGCCCTCGTCGGCGCCAATGAGGGCCCACACTGGTGTCTCTGAGGGTTTCACACCCCCCAACTCTGAGTGCCTACACCAGTGCCTATTATAGCCCTATATCGGCAGCTCTGAGGACCCAACCAACACCTGCGCATCTAAAGGCCACCCACTGGTGACTTTTGAGGACCCCACACCGGTAACTCTGAGGGCCCCACCGGCGTCTGACAGTACGTACCATGTCGGTCTCTAAGGACCCCACAGAACTTCTTCTGTCGGCCCAAGGACCCCTTGCCGGTCACTGAGAACCCCTGCCGGCTTGTAGAGAATTCGCGTCAGCAGCTCTAAAGGCCCCACGGCCCACACCCGTCTGTAACGGCTCCAAACCAGCGTCTATGAGGGCCCACAGCAACGCCTGTAAGGACCCTCATCGGCGCCTCTGAGAGAATCACACTAGCTCCTTTGAGCGCCCACACCGGCACCTGCATGGCGGCCCCACACCGGGGCATCTAAAGGCCCCTTACCGGCGGCTCTGAGGGCCCTACGCCGGTGATTCTGAGGGTGCTACCGATAACCGAAGGCACCACACATTACACAAGCGCTTAGTGTCGCTGAGCTTTAATCCCATACCGGCCCTCCGAGGGCGCCACGTCAGTGCACTCATTGCCCCACACTCCTCCCTCACACACAGAGCGGGTAAACTGTGTTATACCTGTAGCAACGATTTTACCACCGTTGTACGTTATGTATTTCTCAAAGTTGACTCAAGCTGGTGCAGTATATAATCTGGCCTGCCAAACTATGGCCAAGGTCAGGCCGAAATCAAAGCGGAATGACAATAGCAGATGTTGTCAAATCGATACTGTATCAGCAGAAACCATTCAGACGGCAAGGAAAATGCCGTGTGTGGATGTTTAGATGTATAAAGGAAACAAGAAGAAAAGAAGTCCGGAAAAGGGAGGAAAGATCTTTTCTCGCTGCCTCAATGTTGAGGGGGCGCCGCCCCCTCGGCTCCCAAGTTGGGGGGACAAGCGCCCCCGCTGCCCCCCCCCCCCTGTTCCCGGGTCTATGCTGAGTGGACGCGTCTCGAGGTGAGAGCCGATTTTATGTTTTTTTTTAAATGTCATTCTAAAAAATAAGTTGCAAGAAAATGTGTGTTCTGGGCATTTAGATGTGCACGAATTTGAAAGATCTCCGTAGCGGTGGTGAGGGTAGGTTCTAAGGCTGCGTGAGTGAAAACGGATTTCTCCAGCTGTCCGCTGTTTTTTTTAGCACGAGGATGTTTTTTTCCAAGATGGCGGCTAGGTACATGTTGTATCAGAGCCGGGTGGGGTATGTTGTAACTCCTATTGTATGTATGTATGTATGTATGGGTATGTTGCTTTTGATCGCGAAAGCTAAGCCCTGGCTCGCGTTTGTAGGTAGCTAGTCAATGCTCGTTCCATTCCTGCACAATGTGTTGGCTTCTTTGCTCTTAACGGGCCACTTTTGCGTCTAGTCTGTTGATGTTTCGTTTGGATTGCATTGACCTAAGTTTGGTCTAATAAAGTGAAGCCTTTGAGCATACCTATACATTGTATTAACCCCATTTAATGTTGTTGTTATGTTCAAAACCAATAGGAAGCACACTCCCTGAAACGTGAAATAGTGATACAAATTACCCCACCATGTGATACAACTCACCCAAGCCATGGGGCAAGTTGTATCAAAAACATTGTTCTATTCGGGAGACCGTAGAAGAAAAACTGGTAGAAGTAGCGGAAAAGTTAGGTACTTTGCACAAAAAAGCAGAAGAATCAAGGAAGGGGATAGTATGGAAATAATGAGTTTATCACGGATAATTACGAGGTTATGGGTCTCGGAGTAAAAACTTATACAACCCACCCCACTCTCCCCTACCTACTTCTTCGAGTACCGCCCTACTGACGATGTTCAACCCATTATTTCACATACATTCTCGCTAAGAGACAATTCGGATGATAAGTGTAATGGCAGAAACCTTTTTGAGCATTTTCATGCCGTAGACGCTCCTCCAAAGACCAAAAACGTTGAAGCGATCAAAACTGCCTCCCTATCAACTTCGTGTTGTGCGGCACAGCATACATTCAGGCGCTCACTGCTACTGTCATCTAGCGGCGGATTCCACAACTACTGTACAGCGCCGGACGCCCGTGCATCACGGCTCCGAAGCACGCGTCAAATCCTCTCAGTCGTACACATAGTGGTCTCTGCTCGCAGCGTAGAACCAGGTTTTGCTTTCCTAGCCCATTATTTCAATTGTCTAGCATACCTACGTCTATGCGGTAGTGTCTAATATTAAATATATGTACAATGCCTATTGCCTACCTACCTAGCTACAATGCGTGTTTAGTGCGATGATCCACAACGACTCTCGAGAGCTGTCTGCCCACTCTGACCAGTGGGCACTTCTGGCCCGCAGGGGCGACTGAGCGCCACCCAGCGCTAGCCCGTGACCCGGTGACCAGCCTCGGCGGCGACCAGGTGTTACCTACGAGTACCGCGTCTGCACATGTAACCGATGGCCGGCGGCGCCCAGATGTGGCCGGCGATGACGTGTATCGGCGGCCATCCGGTGTACCGCCAGCAGCTGTGACCGGTCACCGCCGGCAGCTGTGACCAGTCGGCAGCTGTGGCCGTCCAGCCGGCTGTGACCGTCCAGCCGGCAGCTGTGATCGGTCACCGCCGGCAGTTGTGACCGGTCACCGCCGGCAGCTGTAGCCGGTCACCGCCGCCCGATACACCGCCCCTCCATCTCCGGCCGGCGGCCGAGGGCCGCCACCGCCGGCGGGGTACAGAGACAACGCGACGATAGAGGCGAAATAAAGCCCACGCGGGCGGAACGGGACACGCTCCCGGTTATATCAAAAAGTCCGTCTACTGAATTCGGTTCGAATTATTTCTACACAAATTCCTTCATCAAATCAGACTAATTACAAATATGAACGGTGAATTTTACTGCTGTTGATTTATTTCATTCTCAAACTGAGTGACAGTTATTCGCAGGTCTTCCGATCATGATCTCTCCCAAACCGCTTCGACCAAACAGACTCTGATGGAAGCATCTTTATTTACCAAACTATTACAAAACAAAGCACAGTAGGCAGTTCCCCACATTAGTAAGCACTACGACGATAAATAATGGTCAAGCAGCGAGGCCCAACCACGCCATTCACGACACGAAGTATTGCTGCGTGGCAGTTCATATTTACACAGCCAAACGAACGCGAGAACACAACGGGAAGCATACACAGTGACAACACTCATATTGTCATCCCACTTTCAGTAAATGTATAAAAATCAGCACATCATCCTACTCAGGAATGCCACGCGACAGTCCATTTCTCAGCAGTTCACCGTCGCCACAGACCACGATCAACGTCCTACAAAAGCTCTGAAATAAATATACCCATTCTAAGTAGCAAATTAAATTAGTGTACGATTCTATAGAAAAACAATCGCACATACATATACAAATACATTTGGCGTTGGGCCCAATGCAGCCGGCCGTTATTCCCCGCCTCAGCCGGAGGACCTGAGGTGACCTGAGCTGCCGCGGCTCTGATGACCCGGCGTGACCCGCCGTGACCTGGCCTACCGCACGGTCTGCGACATGTGGATCGGCGTGAGCATCAGGTCGAACGCCGTGTTGGTGAGGTTGGCGCCGCGCAGGTTAGCCTCGTGCAGGTCACTGCCCGACAGGTTACAGTTCTGCAACACACCAGCACGGTCACAGGTCAGGTCACAGGTCAGCACAGGTCACTGCCCTACAGGTTACAGTTCTTCAACACACCGGCACGGTCACAAGTCAGATCAGAGGTCAGCACAGGTCACTGCCCGACACGTTACAGTTCTTCAACACACCGGCAGAGCCAGAGGTCAGCTCACAGGTCAGTGTCGGGTCAAACGACTGCATCACAGCGTCACCGGGCATTCACAGCTGGGCAGCGTCCTGAGGGAGGCCCCACCGCTGTGTAGACCGGACCCCGCTCAAAGTCGAGCAGCGGACGCTCTGAAATGATCAAAGCAAGGCGGGCGGAGAACGAGCTTACGAACCGACAAACAAAAGGACTCAGCCGCCGTCTAACACGCACCGAGGTCACCTTAGAACACTGGATATGCAGATCGTGGGTGTATCCGTGTTGTGGGGCGACTCTCCTAATGGTAAGGCCCATCATCCAGTTCCCATTAACGGTTTGAAAGGCCGCTCCAAGCCGCCTCTCCACTCAACGGCTTTCTGCTGCGCGCAATTTTCAATACAATAAGCTGGTCGTACAAGAACAGCTTATTCGCAGCGTGCGCTGACTGGCTGTACTCTCTCCGAACGAGTTAAAAGCAGAACGCCAACGCCCGCGGGGCGTTCTCCGTCCGTATCACTGCCCTCACAACGCGCAGTGTAACGACCGTTAGCAACACGGACTGCACCGCACAGCAGCCGTGCGCTGCGGCGCAGCCTATGTAGAGCACGGCGGACGGACGCCGTGGGGAACCGGCTCAATGTAGGACGGACACGGTGGATAAATGATACGGCAGAGGACGAACAAGGTGGAAGACGGACACAGTTGATAACTGATACGTTGGAGGGGGATATGGTGGATAACTGATACGGCGGAGCAAGGACAGGATGTATAACTGTAAAACGACAGAGGCCGGACACGGCGAGAGGACGGACACGGTGAGAGTTCCGACATATCCGCGTGGTGACTGCCACTGGTGTGACTCGATTCAGTGACGACCGCCCGATATGACCTCACTCTATATATGGATCCGAGATAAACTCAGTCTCGAAGACTTAAGTGTAATGATGCTCACTAGCGACGGGGTGACACGCTACCCAGGTTTTTATTACCCTCGTGAGTATATTGGCTACACCAAAGCTGTTTTTAAACCTTCAAGCTACCCAGACACAGTCGTAGAATAGTCGGCAGGTGAATCAAACAGGATATGAGCATTGGGTAATGACCATTTCCCGCCCATTGGACATTTGGCAATTCACAAAAGTAAGCAGGAAAGACAACAATCAAGTGCCTAAAATGACAATGAAAACATCAAATAAAAATATAGAATGTCTGTCAATTGAAAACAGTAAACACAGCAGTTATTTATCTAGTCGTGGATAGTGAGCCCCTAGTGGCGCGCGCTGAGTGCCGTCGGACCCGGTTCGGTTCAGAAGCCGCCCCCGGACGCTAATGGAGCCGGCCGGCCGGTGCCGTCGCCGGCCACACCCGTTACGGTAACGTAATCACTCCCACCGGCCACTCGATCGCTAATGGTCCCCTCCCTCCGTCCCTCGCTCCTCTCTGCCGGCGACTTGGTCCGGTCCGCTCAGCCGGGGAGGGGTCACCGTAGGTGTTCGAGAGCGGAAAGTGGTGTGTCGTGGGCGATAGTAGAGCCGAATACACCAACAGTGGCCATAAAAAATAATAATAATAATAATGATAATAAAAAAACAGATGAGCAGTTGAGAATGAAATGGAGAAAATACTATCAACACCAAATATAATGGTATTCTGTGGATAAAGATTTCGTACAAATAACAATTTATTAATCTGGCATTATTGCATACTTACTATGCATCTTTATGCAATTACCATGTATTTCTGTTCTGTAGCATGTGAAAAATAATAAAAAGATGTAACAATGGTGCACTTCAGCCTTGCTCAATGTTTAATCGACTTTGAAACCCTTTTAATGTCACCTTTGCTGCATCGAGAAGTGTTCAACTATCGGCCGATAAACTCCTTCCCACCTTCTCTGCGAACTACCTGACGGAGCCCAGAGGTGTTTCCCGCAGTGTGCCTCCCCCCCCGCCCTCCGACCCGTCACCGGCAGCTGCCTGCTGGGGGCGACAGCTGGACAGAGTACCGCTGGGGACGACAGGACGCCGAGCGCGGCTGGCAGACAATATCCTGCCGCCAGACCGGCCTGAGTTACGGCCAATGGTCAGCAGACGCCGCCGGCCGGCCCGGCAGACTGACAGTTTACCGGCGCACACTGATACAGTGCGCCTCATCAGACACACGGGTTCACAGTGAAATCACACTTCATACAATGGTGGGTGTCTGCTGCGCCGATGTGATTGGTAGGTAAAACGCGCTGGCAGCAACAGCATCAACCCTCAGACACCGGCTGCTCATGGGCAACCACCCAGCGTCTCTGATGTCACTGTCCGCCCTGGGCCAGGTCACCGGCCGGTAAGGGGTGCCCTCCCCCTCCCGGTGTCTCTGATGTCACTGTCCGCCCTGCAGGCCAGGTCACCGGCCGGTAAGGGATGCCCTCCCCCTCCCAGCGTCTCTGATGTCACTGTCCGCCCTGGGCCAGGTCACCGGCCGGTAAGGGGTGCCCTCCCCCTCCCGGTGTCTCTGATGTCACTGTCCGCCCTGGGCCAGGTCACCGGCCGGTAAGGGGCGCCCTCCCCCTCCCGGCGTCTCTGATGTTACCGTCCCCTGGGCCAGGTCACCGGCCGGTAAGGGGTGCCCTCCCCCTCCCAGCGTATCTGATGTTACCGTCCCCTGGGCCAGGTCACCGGCCGGTCAGCGCGCGGTAACCTCTCTCTCTCCAGCGTCCATAGCACCGCCGAGCGGAGGCGGCGGTGGCCTCGTCAGCTGTGGGCACACGCTGTCTGTCTGGGCACCGTCAGCGCACGAATACATGGTTAACCCCAGCGGTCTCCGCACGGATAAATGGTTAACATCAGCGGTCTAGGCTCGGGTGCATGGTAAACCTCAGCGATCTACGCACGGGTGCATAGTTTACCTCAACGATCTACGCACGGGTGCATGGTTAACCTCAGTGATCTAAGCACACGGTAGTCCATAGCTGTCTGCACATGGATAAATAGCGAGCCTGAACTGTTTGCGCACGGACAAATGGTAAACCACAGCCGTTTGCGCACGGATACATGGTAAACCTCAGAGGTTTGGACACAAATAAATGGCAGAGCTCAGCGGTCTACAGACGGATAAATGGCAAACCTCAGCTATATGTGCAGTGTGCACTACGCATGGATTAATGCTAAACCTGAGCCGGCAGAGAGGACAGCCAGGCATCATCCAGCCACAGCTGCAAAAGGCATAGGTCCCACAGGAGGGAAGCAGCACCCTGATACCGCGACCGCCACATAATTTGGTGTGATGCATCACCTCGAGGTCTACCAGTGCACAGTGGCCCTTTTTCAGAATTAGCACGCATAAATTCAAAATATTTTTTCTCTTCTTTTGAGTAAAAAGCAGTCTAATCGTGTGCAAAACATTCCAAACTATCCGATGGTGCCATTTTTACCGCCTAAAAAATAATTATCTTTGGTAAAACTGACCGCAAAATCGAAGTTTGTCGAGAGGCGCGCGGACACCACCGGCGGACCCTAAAAAGTAGGGTGAGATGAACATCAATTTGTAAGGCTTTCGGTGAGGAAATATTAAAAATAAGTGGCATGGCTGTGAAGCTGAGTTTACGTAGAAGCCCTAGAAACCACAATTTTCATTGTATAAACTTAAATAGACCACTTTTGCCGAATATTGTGGACACAATAACAGGACAATTATTAACTGGAGATGGCGGCATACATATGAAGCTTTATGTTAAGTAGCACACTCTGGAACATGTCGTATTATACATCGTTCGAATCGCTGATCTCTTCTGACCATGTCCACCAAAGGGCATCGCGCCATTTTGCGCCATTTTGCTTCCACGGTGGATAACGTGAGCCAGTTCAGTCCGCGAGCGGCTGAGGCTCCTGTTCGATACGACTAAGCTTATTGACCTGGCTCGAAGCTGGTGTCACCTGGTGGGCGCCTAAATGTGGCCTGACTTTTGCCATAAGATGTGCTTATTGAAATGTCATGTAGGCATAACGCTGTGCTCAAGAAAAACTTCCGATTTCTTGTTCGCGTTTGATGTCCAAGCCGCACAAGTCCCGTGGTCGGCTTAAGATCTAACGTCAAAAGCGCCTATGTGTTTGTATTGTTCGCGTCGCGCTGACCTTAGTTGCTGCCCGGCCGGGGCCGACTAACGGTGGCTGGCAACAGCTGCAGATGCGGTCACGTGACGCCCTGGGGCGTCCTGGCGGTCAGTGCAGCGCGGTCGGCTGGCGGGCTCGCCACACTTGCGTTCGGAGCGGCCTGGGCCGGCGGGCGAGCCGTGCGAACGTGCGCCAAATCTTGGGCCGAGCGGCCTGTCGCTGTTGGGCCGAATCTCCTTGGGCAGTTCGTTTCTTTTCTTGTCTTTGCATTGGCAGGGAATACGTCCTTGATCACGTGGTGATGTCTTGCACCACTTTCAGGTAATGTGGGAATTAATGCGTGCTAATTCTGAAAAAGGGCCACTGTGCAGTGCTAAAATCGCTATCACTATCAGGAGCTTGAGGCAACGACCCCTCTAGCCGTGCAAAAATATCCGGGTAAATAGGTCTACATTGTGAAACTCTAGCTATCTTTGTTTGTCGATTCCATTTTATTTTTAATTGGTTGAAGTGGTCGAATTTAACCTCTCCACTAAATCCTCAACAGTTCCACAAACTAGTGTTTCGTGCTTGCATAATGCATATTTGATTGACGTGGCTTAAAGGGACTATCCCACCTTCTAAAATGTTGTTAAAACCAGTTAAATTGTGCCCGACTTTATAGATTGGATGACCAGGAACACGGTTCTGGCATTTATTTTTCATTAAACATCTTAGGCTTCCCATATTCCAAACACAAACTTTCAAATAT